ATAAATAAATAAATCTAATGTTCACTTTCAGGGGGGGCGGGGGTTGTGACTGTGGCCAGGGCTGCGGCCAGGGCTGCGGCCAGGGCTTCGGCCAGGGCTGCGGCCGGAGCAGCGGCCGGAACAGCGGGGCGAGCCGGGGCTGCGGGGGGGGGGGGGGGGGGGCTGCGGGAGGGGCCGGGGCTGCGGGGGGGGCCGGGGCTGCAGGGGGGGCCGGGGCTGCGGGCTGCTCCAGCGCCCTGCTGGCCAGGGAGGAGCAGTTGGACCAGGGTGCTGTGGGTGTTTTCTTGTCCCGAGGCCGCCCTGTCAAGGTTTGCAGAGATCCGCTCCAGGACCTCCAGGAGCTGAAATGGCAAAGGAGTTTCATTAGCATTGGGCAGCATATTTCCATACACCCACAGTCTGCCAAGACCTTGCTCATGCCACAGCTGTGTCATTCTGCACCATTGTGGACATGCACTGCTTTCTGTGGCCTCGTGGCAGCACCTTGGTCTTAACCTTGTTAGTTGTAAGTGCGTGTAAGGTTAAGTTTGAGCCTGTACCCGGCCTCGGAACCCCCTCTCCTCTGCAGCCTGGTCCACGTTCTGCTGCAGCAGCAGGGCTTGTTGCTCCACGGCCTGGATGGCAGCCGCGTCGTGCCGCTCCTGCCTCGACTGCCGGGGGGGGGGAGGGCGCGAGGCACGGTGGGCCGCACCCACAGCCCCCGGCTTGTCGTTGTGTCTGCCAGGAAACCGAGTATGGGTGATGATGGTGCTCATACCTGCACCACTGATGATAGGTCCCAGATGCCCTAGCAAGAGAGCTTACCACGTGAGGTGGAGGGCACCGGCTCGGCTGCCATCTGGCGCCTGCTGCTGCTTGGCCTCTCCTGGAAGGGGAATTTATAACAACTCGTGAGAACACACAGCCTTGTCTGTGCTTCCCATGTGTTGAAAAAACATTTTGACGAGCATGCATCCTACTCGGAGGAGAACATTTTGAGAATGCCACCTCAGAGGCACTCTCACTTTCTTTTTTTGACAACGTTTCCATTGATTACCGGGATATATGTCTAGTGCTAGCACATCATCTTCCCAAAAATTACAAGCCAGACACCATAGGGATTTATTGCAACAGCCAGGGGCGAGGTGGCAAAAATGACGCTTGTCCCTGTTTGGGTGTCAAACATTAGATTTCGCCACTACATGGACAGATGCAATGTCTTCCGCTAGAGCTCCTAATATTTGCAAAAGGTCAACGTGTTTCTTAAATGCACCCTCATTGATATTCCGCGGTGCAGCGCATTGGTGACCGCTGCCCTGCACTCTTTGTTAACATGATGGTAATTGTTGAAGTACGTACCTGCTGGTCGCCCGTTTCACCGGGAACCCGCACCCCAGAAGCCCCGAGTGCCGAATCTGTGCCCACTAGCGTCAGGATCCTGGCCAGGGACTGCGCTAGTGGGCGCACGGTGGAGCTCCCGCCCCCGGTCCTTCTGTTGATAACGAAAACGACTGAATAAATTTCATTGCACTATCAGCAGACTACAAAGATTAGATTACCTTGCGGTCTCGTTGAGCTGTGCAGCTCGCTTCCGCACCTTCATCACGCGCCGGGAGCAATGCTCTTTCCATTGCTTGTAGCTCTTGGTCGGAGGCCCCAGCGCGTTCAGGCGCAGAGCGAGCTGCTCCCAAAGCCGCCGCTTGTCGTCCCGCGTAAGGGCGGCGGAGAGGTCAGTGGCGTTGCGCGCGAGCGACGGGTGCTCACACGTGAAGGAGAGTTGCTCCTCCTTCTGAGCAGCCGTCACTCGCGCGCTCCTCGTTGGTCCCGCCGACCCCTACGCTGCCCCCGGCACCCCCGGCTCCTCGTTGTCCGACCGGTCCGACATTTTGGTTTGAAGAAGGCGCGTGGCGCACATCCTGCATAACATTGGAACAACTTTCTCTCCAATTAATTCTTGAATGGATCCAAAAAAGCGGTTTGTTTTAACAACGCCCAAAAGGTTTTGATTGTTTTTCAATACTTTTACCTGTACTAGAACAGATGCGACGGCCAGCGACGCACAGGATTGGTTGCCGTTCCTTCGCTAAACGCAGGAACTGCTCCCCGCGTCGTAGTAAATCCTACCCCGTATCCCGCGCGTAGGGACGCCTCAGGGAATGCGTAGCTACTTCCGCTCGTCGGTGGTTGGCTCCGGACGTCGCTCAAACGGGTGACAGGTGTCAAGTTTGCGATGACGTAGCGGCGTCAAAGTGGGCAGAGCCGCCACGTGAGTGTTGCTAGGATACGTTCCTCCTTTCCATTACGTCACTTCCATGTACCTTTTCCCAAATGTCCAACCTAGCGATCCTGGGCATATAAACACTATCGGTGGCTTGCTTGCCGCCTGCCGAAGGTCTGAGTTGTTGCATTGTTGCACGAAGGCGAGATGCGTGATCTATATTGTCGGGTATTTCAAGCTGTTCGGAAGGGTGAATGAACTCACCTGGCAGTCGATGAGGCATGCCGTATACGAGCTCAGCTGCACTGCATTCGATATCGGCTTTGAAAGCGGCTCTAAGGGCCGGTTGCACCAACGCCGCTTACCTTAACCCAAAGCGGCACTGTCCTAAGCCGGCTTAGCGCCCTAAACCGAGCTTAGGTAAGCACGGGTTTAAATTCCGGTTGCACCAACGTTAAGCCGGCTTTACAGACGCGCCCCTAGCTAAACGCTGGATTTGCGTAGGGAATCTAGGGACAAACAGAGCAAACTAGGGAACGCTCAGAGTGACGAATACGATTGGCGAAGAGAAATCACGTGATGTAAAAAAAAAAAAAAAAAACTGCCGTAGTAGTTGTCGTCGGCGTCTGCTTTTCGCTGTATTTCTTCGGTGAGTAACAAATTAAAGGTCTCCAAATTCAATCATTTTTTCGTTTAACTTTCAATAACAGAAGTCAAAGCTTCAAATAAACACGAATGCTCTTTACATCGTTATTGTGTGTTTAATATCGGTTGATAACAGGATATTTTGACAGTGGTAGTAGTTTTCGTGCTCACATTTTGAGGCGAAGGAGCCATCGGGGGCCCCAAATCTCACCGAACGCGAGAAGGACACTCTACTCGCTACATCACTGAACACAAAACATCATGGATATAAGTAGGCAGGTAAGATGACTACTAAAACCAAGTCAAGCCTGAGACCGATGAAGTTCAAAACAGTGACGAACTCGCCACGGCAGCTGCGAAAATGCCCGGAAATCGTCGAATAGAAGTCGTCGAGAGGTCAGGTCACGAGACCTTGCATCGACGGTACTCGTTGCTATCAGCAAGGTGACAGAACTGCACTGTACCGTCGTTGAACATCCCCTGCAGCCTCAAACGGACTTCAGTTTCACACTGTCGAGTTCAGAAAAAAAAAAAAAAAAACTCTCATTAGTACATTACATTGTGCCGATAAGAACGGTCGTCTCTTCGCATCACCTGTCCCAGCCTGCCCCGATACAGCAATGCACGAATCTAACATAGTAGTCGTTACGATTTGTCGTCGCCACGAATGAAAGATATAAAGCAAAATATTCCTAAAAAATCGCGATCACCAAAAACGTTACGGAGGACACAACAAGGCGCAACTTTCAACTGAATTTTATTGAAAACGTGTTCCGGTATATAGTCTCAACCATCGTCACAATGACAACAAACGACAAAAGTAAAGGGAAAACACCATCACAGAGCTCAACTCGGAAACAACAGTATCTCGTTCTCGGGAAACGAATGAAAGATATAAAGCAAAGTATATAAAAAAAATGCGATCGCCAAAAAAGTTACAGTTATGGAACGATACAGGTTTCTGAAACCAAGATTCTACTCGCGAGATAAGGAAAATTCACTGAAGATTGTCTCAAAACTCAGAAAACGAAAGAAATTTTCGCTGTTTTATTACTTAAAAGCGCCGCAATATATTGCAAACGGCAGAGGTGTCGACAATCAGCTGATCGCCGAGATCATGTACTGCCACTATTCAACGCGCTGATCAGGTTGAAGGATACGCGCTGCAAGTGTAGATAAACAAGGTGGTAAATAACAATACGCTACAGCTATGCGAAAATTAGTAAGTACATACGAACAAGCTCGTTGACAGAAGAACCAGCGGGAATGCAGACGTGAGCCCCACAGCTCCGTACGTTTCTCGGTTAGGGCTAACACGCCCTGAGAGTGGAGAGCCAACTTGAAAACAGGGGTCGATCAACACTTCACGCGACAATATTTTGCATCCTTGTCACAATCGAAAGTCATTTTGTCGAAACTTTCACGCTGATGTAGCCTAAAACACTTTGCATAACCAATTTTGTCCACCGCGTCGACCGTGACAAACCAGCCGCCATGTTTTTAATCCAGGATTAAGAAACAACTAGAGTCCCTGGAATACTGGCTAGTCTGCCGTCCGCGCTCCTCTCCCTATGGGGCGAGGTGTCGCGCCGATGATGACAGCGTAGAGGGCGGTGCGGAGAATCGGCGTGCTGTCAAACCGGTCGCGCCAGCCACGCCGGCCATGCTCCACGCGTAGTTTTGCAGGTAGAATGGCTGATATGGCTGGCGTTTTTGGTCACTTCGTAGATCTCAACGCATGATGTCGGGGAGAAAGCGACAGTCCCGCGACAGCACTTGCTTCGTGCCTGGCTGCAGGAGTGGATACCGCTCGTGCAAAGAAAAGTTTTCGCTGTTTAGAACTCCACAAGACTCCGCGAGGCTGCAAGAGTGGGCGTGCAAAATCAAGCGGGATGACAGAACCCTCGGCGAAGCCAGCGTCGTGTGTGAGAGACACTTTGAGCCCCAGTTCATCGAACGAACCTTCAAGAACGTCGTCCAAGGGCAAGTCATTGAGCTACCACGTAGTGTGCCGCAGCTGACGAAGGACGCTGTGCCGAGCGTGTTTCCGGACGCGCCCAAGTACTTCTCGAAGCCAGTGCCTAAAAAAAGAAAGGAACGTAACCTGTGTGATCAGGTGCCACTGCCACTTGTCAAGAGGCACTGCGTGGATGTAGAAATGCAACCTGATGCTGACCTGCCCATTAGTGATGCTTCTCGGGACACTGCTCTCATTCGTGAGTGCCTTGATCTGCTGCCTGCACCTCCGTGGACTAAGATCAACCTCGACGGCATTACAGATCAAATAACCTTTGCTCAATGCCATTTGAGTGAGGAAGGTGCTCTAGGTGTTTTGCACGTGAGCCGTCGCATTGTGCTTGATTTTGCTGCGCCACAGGGCTCAACTCCAAAAGCAACAGTCTATCTTCGTGGAAAGGAAATCAAAAATCAAAGTATAAGCAGCGCAAATGACGTCAAAGTCTTGTTGCACGAGATCGGAAGCATGAAGCTGTGCCCTGGCTATGGTCTGAAACCTATGACAAAAACTTTTGTTTGTTTCAATGGGTGCTACTTTTCAGCAAAATGCTCTCTGATTTCTGAATCGCCCTGCTTGGCGTGCAAGTATATGCGTAAACTGAGCCAAAATGCAGCCTCCAGGAAGAAAAGAATCATCAAAGCAAAAAAATCAGCTTCGAAGAGCCGTGCTTTACGGGTACTGAAGAGGAAATTGGCAAAAGCACAGAGTGCTGTTGAGAGCATGAAAAACGAGAACGAGCAGCTGTCGAAAACAGACTTTCAACAAAGGATGAGTGCTCTGCCTTCGAAACAGCAGCTTGCTGTTACAGCTTGCTTTGAAGCTGCCAGACGTAAGTCGGCAAAGGGCATGCAGTACACGAACGAGTGGCTTCTTGAATGCATATTAATGCGCATGAAGAGTCCGAGACTCTATGAACACATTAGACGACACAAGATACTTGCCCTGCCTGGACGGACGTGCCTGCAAAAGCGGATTCTTGGTTTCAAAGGCGGCTTCGGTTTTAACCAAAAAATATTTGAAGCCCTTTCTGAGAAGACGAAATGTATGGACAAGTTTGCATGCCATGGAGGCATTGTGTTTGATGAGATGAAGATTTCAGAGCACTTAGATGTCAAGTCAACTGGTGAGAACCTGTTCTTAAGTTGTGGCTCTTCACTGCTATAGTGTTTGTCTCTGCTGTGTACTTTATATGCACATTTGTTTTGCATTTCTAGGCGACTTAGAGGGATTCGTTGACCTCGCACAGTTTACTCCAGAATCACAGAAGGGGCAAGTTTGCGATCATGGGATGGTGGTTCTGTTCCAACCTTTCCAAGGTAAGCGATTCCATTCTGCTATTGCATTTATTGTGCTGCATTGCAGGCGTGAAACAAAACTTTTATTTATTGTCTTTTGGCTTCTTTCCTTGGGTCAGTGGACACAGGTCCTTGGTGTGTTTGCTTCACGTGGAAATGTTAAAGCTGACACCTTGGCCAAAATCATTGTCGAGGCAACAATCCTATGTGAAAAAGCCGGTCTTTTTGTAGACTTTGTCACCTGCGATGGAGCGAGCTGGAACAGGTCAATGTGGAGGATCTTTGGCATACGAGGTAACTCTAGGGATCAAATGCACTATTTTCTGCCTTTACCAGTCACTACAGTGCAGCTAAAGTTGGTTTCTATTAATTTAGGTACAGCGAAAGGAACAAGGTGCAAGACCCCACACCCTGTGAGACAAGCGCACCATCTGCACTTCCTGTCCGATTTTCCCCACTTGCTAAAAGATGTGAGGAACGCCTTCATAGCAAAGGGCTTCAACACTCCAGAGGGTCGCGCACATATTCGCCCTATCCAAGAAGCTTGGAAAATTGACAGCAAGACTGTTTCTTTGAAAGTAATGCCTTCCATTACTCGGGTTCATGTGAGCCCCAACTCTTTCGAAAAAATGAGGGTTGCGCCAGCTTTTCAGTTATTTGGTGACGCAGTCGTCAAAGGACTTTTTCTTTACCGCGCGAAGCTGGAAGCTGCATGTGGCTCAATAGAACCAACAGAAAGTTTTGTCAAGAGGATAAACAAAGTTATCAGGGTAATGTCCTCGCGATTCCCAAAGGCAGCCTTGTAAGCTAGCTCGCCAAACTACCAGTTTCTTAAAAAGTTCCTGGAGTACCTGAGAAAGTGGGAAAGCCACGCGAAATCTACTGTGGGTAGCTTTCTGAGTTCTAGCACAGCAGAAGGGCTACATGTGACAATTGAAAGCACGCTGCATCTGCTTGACTACATCAACACAATCGGGTTTAAATATATAATGACAGCGAATTTGAGCCAGGACAGGCTTGAGAACCTGTTTGGCGTCGTTCGACAGTCATCTGGTGCAAACGATCACCCTACTGCTGCCCAGTTCTTAATCACAGTCAATGCACTCGCATTTTACAATCTAGCCAGGCCACCCAAGTCAGGCAACTGCTCTCCAGAATTGATCAGCTCTCTCATTTCAAACGTTGGATTAGAGCTGCACAAGGAGCGAGCGATAGACATTTTGGACGGGCTGATCGACAAAGGAAAGCTTAATGACGCAGAAGAAGCACTCAGCTCTTGCACGCCGTCAGACCACAGTGCTTACGTAACAGAAAAAAGCAATGACTTGGTTATTTACTACATTGCTGGATATGTAGTCAGAAAGACAGTGAACAAGACTTCATGTGAGGTTTGTGTATCCTTCCTGCAAACTGACCAGTACACCGCCATGGAAGAGAATAAGGCTTCGTCATTTACAGCCCACTTCGACAATGGAGGTTTGATGTACCCATCTGGCCCCCTTAGGAACCTTATAACTCTCCTTGAAGATAGTTTCACAACTTATTTCAGCTTACACAAGCTCCACTCCAGGAGCATTAAGGACTTCTTTTCCTTCTTGGTGAAAGTAGAGTTTCCCACATTAGGTTGTCTAGCACATGAACACACCATAACAACAGGTGTAATAAAGTATTATGTACTTCTGCGTTTTCGATTTTACACGAAGGCGCTCAACAATGACAGGATGGCGAAACAGGAGCGTATGAAGCTACTGAAAGAAAGGAGGCTGAAGTAAGATGAAAGCGTGTATTATAAGTAGGGTTCTGCGTTTTCGGAGTTTATTCATTTTTTTTCCTCGATAGTGGGAGTGTTTTTGTTTTATTTTTCGGGGCTTAATTTTCTTTTCCCGATTTGGTGTTTTTTGTGTAAATTGGTTAAGTCATAACCAATTTACACAAAAAACACCGAATCTACAAAAAAAAATAATAACCCCCCTCCCAAAAAAGAAAAAGATATTTTGAGATAAAAAAAAATTAACTCCGAAAAGGCAAAACCCTAATTATAAGCAAGTGTTTTGTTTGTTGTTGTTTTTTTTTCCTGAAGCTACAAATAAGCTGCTTTAATGGTGACTCTGTGTTCGTTGTGGTATGTAGTCTGGAAAAAAAAAACAGCCACTGTGTGTCTTTAATAAACCGTTAGAAACTATGGTGTATTTTTACTGGGATATTTTTACGAGAACCTGTTATGTTGCACAGATAACAGTAATGCCAGTGCTGTTAAGTGCACTGTACAACTATAATTGATCTCATCATAATGGCAAAAAGTTTTCCACTAGAGCGGCGGCAACGCAGGCCACTTTTAAAACGCGCGCAAAACTAAAAACTCGCTGCTCCTCAGCTGCGCCCGTCGAACCCGTCGGTAGCACGCCGACTGCTTGCAGCGCCACCGCATCTTTCATCCCGGAAAAGACGCGCCGCGGCCCGCGGACAGCAGACTAGCCAGTATTCCAGGGACTCTAAAGCAACCAAAAGCAAAGCGCCCAATGTTGAGCGCTTAAGTTAAGCGTAGTTTAGTGCTAGGTTTAGCGATAAGCGAGTTTGGTGCAACCGAACGAAACCGAAACTAAGCTTAAATTCCCGGCTAAGCTCCGCTTTGCGCTAAGCGACGTTGGTGCAACCGGCCCTAAATCTCCGCAGGACAAGAGGGAAAATTTTAGTCCAATCTGAAGCCAACCCGCCAGCCTTTAGAGATGCCTTTAGCTGCGATTAAATCTCTCCACTACTCTATTCGATGTAGGATGTTATAAAGTCACTGGATCTGGGAAAGAACAGCCATTTCCTTCCCACACTGTAAGAAGTGCTGTGATTTTTACATTCCGGTGAACGTAAAAATCGCAGAAATTCGATCGTTGTCCGGAAACACAGTCCTATGCCTGTAAGTGACGCGCGGAGGCGAAAGGAGAAGCGGAAAACAGAGAAGGAGGGGCAGCGTCGGTGGTCGCCACAAATGTGGTCGCCACGGTCGCCACCGGAGCGGGGCGGTCACGTGGGAAAGTCACGTGGGCATCGGTTCGACGGGTCTGGACCACTGATCTCAATGACAATTGCTGGATCGCGCTTGCCGCTCCCGCAAGTGAAGCCACCGGACTTCACTCGCTTGGGATACGATTTGCCGTTTTTGCTAGCCTTTGCTGCGGTTTTCCAGCGTGCTGTGGACACGTTTTCTACTCGTTCGTCGTCATTCGCCGAAGAAGTTTTTTGAAGACTCTGTGTATTGTTGAGACTTGCCGTCATGAACAAGTGGAAAATTTTACGAAAGTGCAGTGTCGCAGGAAAAAGGCACAACGCGTCGAAAGGAAGGACTGGCGGCGTGTTCAAAGCTTCCTTGGCACGCCGAAGTGCCGTGTCTGTGTGCCTTCGCACGCTTGGATACCGACCAAGAATCGACGCCGTGTGGATGTGTTTTGCGAGTGCAATGTGCGTGAAGCCGTATCAAAAGGTACAACTCGTCGAAAACAAGTGTCGCCGGTGTCGCGGCGTGATCAAAGCTTCCTTGGCACGCCGAGTGATGCATCTTTGTGCCTTCGCACGCTTGGTTACCGGTCAAGAATTGACGCCGCGTCAAAGTTCTGAACGTGTGTCGCGCGTAGAAGCCTTTAGATCATTTATATATATCGGCCACGGAGTTCTGGATCGTCCAGCTGTTCCGGTGAGTTGCTATCAATAAAAGGGAGAGATCTGTACGTGTTCTTATGTACTATATTAACCATGGCTATGTCCCAAATCTACTCTAATAGATTCCGTGGGAGCACGAATAGGGCAACGTTGTGGAGCCAGGGGGGTTTTCGAAAGCAAAAGTACAAGACGGCGAGAATGAAAATATTTGAAGCGCGGCCGATATGGTCGTGTGCAATCTGCTGACCAATTACAATTAGACGAGCCGCGCTCAAACGTCAAGTGCAATTAAGTAGGTTGATAATAAGCCAGCACTGATCAGTGATGAGGAGCTGTTGTGCACGGTATTGTGTAAATCGTCTAAGGACGAAAAAAAGACGTACCTTCCCCCCATCTTCCGTCGCTAGTGGACGCTGGATTAAGCTCGTTCCTAAACCGCGAGGGGAAAAGACGCTGATCCAGAGGCACGAACAGCTTCACGCACATTGCACTCGCTAGACACATACACACGGCGTCGGTTCTTGGTCGGTATCCAAGCGTGCGAAGGCACAGAGACACGGCACTTCGGCGTGCCAAGGAAGCTTTGAACACGCCGCCAGCCCTTCCTTTCGACGCGTTGTGCCTTTTCCTGCGACACTGCACTTTCGTAAAATTTTCCACGTGTTCACAACGGCAAGTCTCAACAATACACAGAGTCTTCAAAAAACTTCTTCGGCGAATGACGACGAACGAGTAGAAAACGTGTCCACAGCACGCTGGAAAACCGCAGCAAAGGCTAGCAAAAACGGCAAATCGTATCCCAAGCGAGTGAAGCCCGGTGTCTTCACTTGCGCTGCAGCGAACAAGCGGGGAAGCGCGATCCAGCAATTGTCATAGAGATCAGTGGTCTGGACGGGCCTGAGTCAGTGCCCGGTCACTACCATAGACCCAATAAAGTTGATTTCTGGGCAAACTGGGCGCTCAGCAGCGCTGCCGTGGTCGGAGCCGCTCATTACTGTAACGAATCGAAGCCTCATTGCTCTATTAATAGATTGCGAAACTAAAATAAGCAGCGAGGATTATGTTTATAAAATGAAGCGCTAACGTCTTAATAATTACTTTTGACGCCGTCAAGCTAGCTTGAGCGGCTTCCTAGCTGTTTGCGAAGACGAAGCCGCTCAAAATCCAACATGGCGCAGCCCCTTCGCCGTGCCCTGCCGCTGCTCCCTACCGCGGTACCGGCGGTACCGCGGTAGAGTTTGTTTGGAAATTTACGGTTCGCACGTGCCATGCCACTTATTATGGCAAATAATTGTAAGTTCTTCTTGCCTACCTTGTGTCCAGCAGTTGACAGTCCGTTACTTGTCGTCGGCGTCTTCCAGGGATTCGAAACAGATGCAGCATTTTTCGCACTCGTGGACGCAATAATTCAGTCATTTGCAT